ACAACCGTGGACAGAGGATCAGAGCCGCCCTCAGATTACCTGAGTGCGGACCTGCCCCGCGCAGACCTTTAGACGTCTTCAGGACACAACTGCCAGCTGGTCATAGGTTTGTAAACACAATTCTTGTGCAGTTCATGTGTGTTTCATTCCACAAATAAAGAAACTCACAGAAGTTTTAGTTAAGTGTTTTATTTATACGAAATATTAAAAGTAAAACGAGGTATAAGAGCACACAAGTATAAAAGGTAAAACCTTGAATGTCACAGAAAATATATATATATACACACACACACTGAGGTAGAGTGTATAAATTGTGCTTTTCAGGCGCTAGTGTAAATAAGTGGGCATCTTGCGGTGGTTGATGTTGTGGTGTTGGTGAGAATGTGGTTGGTTGAAGTTGAATGTTCTCCATTCTCTGCATCAGCTTCTCAACCGTACTGTCAGTGCGGAGGATGCTGGAGATCAACCGTTCCTCCCGGGCCTCACTTCTTGCCATGTCCTCCTTCCATTGTCGAGTCATGACTTGCATCTGGTTTACCAGCACATGGACGTCTCTCACTGGCCTTGTTTGCTGGGACTCGTTCCTTTAAGAAACGGCAGCTATCAAAGTCAGTCGTATCCCTACCGATTAGGCATGTGGTAGTAACCATCTCGACATCAGCTGTTTGTTAGACTACACAGGATGAGTGACAGCATGGCATGAAGATTCTTTGTGATGCCCATATGTTGATGCTGTTATAATATTGCAGAACTTACCAGGTAGATCATCAGTGATTGTAGCACGCAGTGGAGCAGAAGGTGGTGGAGAGCAGCTAGAGTCGACCTAACGGAGGAGGTAGCACGCAGTGGAGCAGAAGGTGGTGGAGAGCAGCTAGAGTCGACCTAACGGAGGAGGTAGCACGCAGTGGAGTAGTTGAAGGTGGTGGAGAGCAGCTAGAGTCGACCTAACGGAGGAGGTAGCACGCAGTGGAGTAGAAGGTTGACGTAGGTGAGGAGGTTCCAGATGAGCCTCCGAGCAGCGTCTCTTCCGGGTCCATTGTAGTATCTATAAGATGGTACAGCACAAATACTAATAAAACGTTATTTATAGAGCACCTTTCATGCAAAAGAATGCAGCTCAAAGTGCTTTACAGCAAATACGTGCGTAATAACGTGCACAAAGAAATTACCTGCACATAAAAATGGACAAAGAAACATAAAAACTCAACTATAGTGCAAAAACAAATGTAGAAAGTACAGTTTATTTAGTTACGTTTGTAACTTTCATTCTAAATTGAATTCCTTGCAGGTTAGTGGGAAGATCTACACGTTTCTCAAAGGCTAAGGGCTAGCTAGCAAGTGGCACCCATGTTAGCTTGGAAAGCTACGGTTATCAAGTGGGACCCGGGTTAGCCTTACGCTTTATCATTGTTACATTGTTTTCATCGTCGATTTAATTCCTCGCTAGTTATGGGAAGGTACACATGTTTCAACACATATTAGCACTGCTAACACGTCTCACAAACAGCATCAGCTAGCATCTGCTACCTAGCACTTGTTTTAGTGTGATGCAACTGAAATGAACTTACCCATGGTAGTTGGCAACCGAACACCCGAATCTACGCCGTTGTGCTCTACTAGGGACTCTTGTGTCGTCCATTGGGTTGTTTGTTTGTTTTCTGCCGGTGTGAGATGCTCGTAGTGGTGAAAAGATTCTGTAAACAATTGTCTTGTGCTAAAAGCCAGGTCGCAGTGGTTGACCCTGAGATGGAGGGAGATAGAAAGATTTAGGGTTTGCAGCTGTGTTTGGGGAAGGGGGTCATCTCGCTCTCACGGACCTTCGATCAGAGGAGCATTGGGTGTTACCCTCAGCTCCACCGGAGTTCTTATCTCAACTTGATTTGTGGCTTCTCGTAACCGCCGCTAAGAACTGTCTTCAAGTGTATAAAAACTCAGCGTTTTTACTGCTCGGAGACGCCATTACACAGAGCGCTGGAATACGTGCTGGTGTTGGACCTCCTGCTTGCAAGCAATAGTTAGAGACAGATATCTGCAGAGAATTGCTCGTCATCTTTTTCTCTTCTAAATAAATGTAAACTTTTTGACTTTAATTGATCAACGTGCTGGATCCTTCTCATCAACCGACTCGGGGGATCGGAGATCCCGACAGAAGTGTTGAATGACGATAAACTGAAGGGTGAAGCCTTGAATGACGATGAACTGAAGGGTCCACGGTTACCTAACCCTTCGAACACAGTTCAGTGCACTAACCCCTGGGCGCCAACAAATCGTGTTTGGCACCAAAGGTGGAGATGGGGACCTCCAGCCACAACGACGTGGACCTCAGCTGGATCCCTCAGGAGACCCTCAACCAGATCAGTAGGGCTCCTCTCTCTCCTTCTGTCTCTCCCTTTGTCTCCTTCTGTCTCTCTGCTTCTTCTGGAAGTTGATCCTCATGATGAATATTTGAAAGCATCTAAAAGGCTTCAGAGGTTTTGTAGAGAACATAAAGACATAAAGTGACATTCTTTTGTTGCTCGGACGCTTTCATCTCTGCTGCCGTTTTTCTCGCAGAATCAGCTGTTCTCTCCCTGTTTGACCTTTAACCTCCACTCTGCATGAGGGTCACTCACTGTTTCTCTCTCATGTTTCCCTGCGTCTCCAGTGCAGAGTCGCAGAGGTGAGATGTGTGTGTGTGTGTGTGTGTGTGTGTTGCTTAAGAGATGAAATAACTAATGAACAACACGCAGCAAAACGTCTTCAGCCTCCGTTTAAACAGAATGAAACATCTTCATCACGGAGGTGACTTCTCTTCTCTTCTTCTCTCCAGACAAAGCGTCTCCCAGAAGATCTCCTCGCAAGAGGAACCAGAAACGCTCAGCCGGCTCGGACGAGTGACGGTCGCCATGGCGACGGTCCACAGAGGACGGATGAAGACGGGACGAGTGGGGACTCGTTCCACTGAGAGACTTTAAACACACAGGGATCATGTGACTGGTTTTATCTGCTCGTTTCCTCTGTGGGAGACACAGCGTTGATGGATTCATTCCATCCAGAGGAAACGAGCTTCTGCTTTCATTTTGTTTTTTAAATGTGCAGGAAATAAAGTTTGATTTGATGTCGTCTTTGTTTGTTCTGATAAGTGTTTACGACACATTGATGTAGAAACGTGTTATAACTTAATAGTTGAAGTAGGAAAACAAACTTTAAAATGAAGAAAAGAACTAAATAATCAAGTAACTTTTGAGACGATTGTTTCACTTTTATTATTAATTTCCTGCTGCAATAATAAGACTTTAATCATACAAGTATGTCAGCAAAGTAATACATGGAGGGACTAAATATACTGTTAGAAACAGAAGCACCTGATATTATCTCATTAAACATTTGAAGTTGAATCTGCTAAAATAATTATTCATATTTTCCTTATTTGTCGTTTATCAAACGTCTACTTGAACATTGTGACACATAAAGATGAAGATTAAACATCTAAACGATAATTATTGATTCCATCTGCAACACCACAAGTCCCAGAGAGCTGTGGACCCCCCAGAGTCCAGACCAGCTCAGGTACCCCTCACCTGCTCCACCTGCATCTACACCCACATGAACCACCATCAGCTGCACAGACTGAACTATGTGGTGAGCAGAGAGGAAGGTTCTCCACCAGGAGGAGACTCTCCCTCCTACAGAGAACACAGAGACACTGAGGAACCAGAACAGGAATCAAAACCATACCAGGGTTCAAACCCAAACCCAAACCCAGGATAAAGAGGTTCAGTGAATGTGGTGCTGAAGGTGTGGAGGTGGATCAGTGTGTCAGAGGAGACTCTGTAGAAGGACAGAGAGCCAGCAGGACAGTCCACATACACTGCTACTCTACCAGAGGAGGAGGAGGAGGAGGAGATGCGTGTCGGTGTCTCATTGTGACGGACATAGTAACCTTTATCAGAGCAGATCAGACTCCAGGACTGATCATTGTATCCAAACTCACAGTCATCACTGTCTCCTTTCCTCCTGATTTCTCTGTAACTCACTGATACATAAACGTTTCCTCTCCACTCGACCTCCCAGTAACAGCGACCAGTCAGACCAGTTCTACACAGCAGCTGAGGATAGTAGTCAAATCTGTCTGGATGATCAGGATGTGACTGATCCTCCTTCACATGTGTCACCTTCCTGTTGTTGTCAGACAGTTTGAGTTGTTTGTTTACTGTGTTTGTGTCGATTGTGAGTTCACAGGAATCTGATGAGAGAACAAGACACAATACAGCTGCAGTTATTAATCATGTGTTCATCTACTGACACGTTGATGATGACGTCACAGAGGTGAATGAGTGATGTCACAGTGTGAAGATGGTTGAATCTTCATGAATCAAAGCTCACTTACACTTCCTCAGACCTGGTCTCAGCCATCGGACTCCATCAGGCTCCACCCTGAAAGGAGGAGGGGGGTCAGAGCAGCATGGAGACGTGGACATTACATCACACACAGCTTTGTCCTTCATGTCCACATGGACCACCTCTTCTTCTTGTGATTGGCCGATGACCACAGCTCATCACGTTCACTCATTCATCTATTATTATTATTATTGTCAGCATCATTCTGACCGTCAGCTTCTATTTCAGCCTCTTCATACCTGAGAGTCTCCAGTCTCCAGTGAGGATCCTCCAGTCCAGCAGACAGCATTTTCACTCCTGAGTCTCCTGGATGATTGTAGCTCAGGTCCAGCTCTCTCAGATGGGAGGGGTTGGAGCTCAGAGCCGAGGCCAGAGAAGAACAGCCTTCTTCTGTGATCAGACAGCCTGACAGCCTGCAACACACAACACAACACACATGTCACATGATCTGAGGGGCTGGAGGGGCACTGCAGCACTGCTTTACTGACTGGTACTGAGGGGTCACATTAACATGGTTACTGACTGGTTTCCAGTCACAACTAAAGACCCATGTCAACAATCTGATCATGTGTATAGGGCTGTCATAAATATCAAATTTGTTGTGCGATTAACATTTATTGTGATATTATTGCCATTTTATGCCACTGATAACATAATGACAATAGCATAGTAATAAAAGTACAGTATTTCAAAGAATGTTTTATTTGTCAGAATAGTTAGACATTAGAATCTGAAACTATATTCTATATAAATAAAACAAAAAAATAATAAGTGCAAGGGACGAAGTATCGGGCTTTTTGCGATTCGGTCGGGTTCGAGAAAATGTGTCCAGCGGAAAGGCGCCGTGGCAGCCGGGGGTTTTAACGCGGGGCTTCGACCAACGGCAGGGCGACGCACTCCGCGGCTGCAAGAAGAGACTGAGCGACCCGCCCAAAGAGCAGTCCAGAGGAACCGACAGTAGTTCAGGTTACAGACGGACGGATGGTTGTTGTTTGTGTGAGAGCTTAGCTTAGTTAGCTTAGTTGGGTTCACTGCTTCTCTTCACCTGTCGGTGTCGCTCTGTGTGCGTGCTGCATAAGCCCCGCCCCCTTTCCACAAGGAAAAGGGACAGAGGATCAACTTAAATGTTGGGGACGTTCATTTAGATGTAAAATTAATATCGCAGCACGGAAAATTATTGCACACGATTTCAGAAAGTGTGCAGAGAGAAAGATGTCATTTTATCACATATTGCGACACATTGTCCTCAATGTGAAACAATATATTGAAATAATCTCTGCATGTTCATAGAAATATGTGGAAAACACAAATTTGATTTAAATCATGCAATCAGAAATGCAAGGTAAGAAATGTGACATTGAATTAAATAAAGACACCAGGTGGACATTGATTGAATCCTGACCTGAGAGTCTCCAGGTCACAATGTGGACTCTCCAGTCCAGCAGACAAGATCTTCACTCCTGAATCCTGCAGGTGGTTGTTACTCAGGTCCAGCTCTCTCAGACTAGAGGACTGAGAGCTGAGGACTGAGGACAGAACTTCACAGCTTCTCTCTGAGAGGTTACAGCCACTCAGTCTGAGGAGAGGGATGAAGAAGAAGCAGAAAGTATAAAAGATGGCAGCATATTTAAGTTCTGATGTATGAATTAACTGACAGCCACTCAGCCTGAAGAGGCAACAATCAACAAGAACAACGATATTATTTATGCTAAAATGAAATCCTATTTGAGGAGGAGTTTGGTATTTTAGTCCAAACTCATTAAGAGCAAAGGAAGTAGGAAGTACGATAGTATTGACATCAGGACCAGGCAGAGATATTTACTGCTGTTTGTAAGAGCTAAATACAACGTGAAGCTTCTCTGTCCTCTGACTTGTTTTAAAGAAAGAAAACTAAGAAAATCTGAACATTAAGTAGAAAAGACGGCAGCGTGTTTAAGTCCTGATGTATGAATCTGACTCTCTGTACTTACAGAACTTTGTTGGAGGCTTTGACCACCGGCAGCAGCTTCAGAAGAGCCTCCTCTGAAGCAGAGTATTTCTTCAGGTCAAACACCTCCAGATCATCTCCTGATGACAGTAAGATGAAGACCAGAGCTGACCACTGAGCAGGAGACAGTTCATCTGTAGAGAGACGTCCTGAACTAAGGGACTGTTGGATCTCGTCCACTAGAGAAGCATCATCCAGTTCATTCAGACAGTGGAACAGATTGATGCTTTTCTCTGGAGACACAAACCAACTGATCTTCTGCTTGATGTACTGGACTGTTCTCTGATTGGTCTGTGAGCCACTTCCTGTCTGTGTCAGCAGACCTCGCAGGAGAGTCTGATTGGTCTCCAGGGAAAGACCCAGGAGGAAGCGGAGGAACAAGTCCAGGTTTCCATTAGGACTCAGTAAGGCCTTCTCCACAGCAATCTGGTAGAGACACGTTGGGTCAGGATTGGGTTTAAAGCGTTTAGACTCCAGGGAGGTTGTTTGTTCTTCTGACAGCAGATGGACACCAGAGCTGAAGAAGGTCAGATGGACATGAAGAGCAGCCAGAAACTCCTGAACACTCAGATGGACGAAGCAGAAGACCTTGTCCTGGTACAGTCCTCTCTCCTCTCTGAAGATCTGAGTGAACACTCCTGAGTACACCGAGGCTGCTCTGATATCGATGCCACACTCTGTCAGGTCCGATTCATAGAAGATCAGGTTGCCTTTCTGCAGCTGATCAAAGGCCAGTTTTCCCAGAGACTCGATCATCTTCCTGCTCTCTGGACTCCAGTGAGGATCCGTCTCAGCTCCTCCATCGTACTTGACCTTCTTCACTTTGGACTGAACCACCAGGAAGTGGATGTACATCTCAGTCAGGGTCTTGGGCAGCTCTCCTCCCTCTCTGGTCTTCAACACCTCCTCCAGAACTGTAGCAGTGATCCAGCAGAAGACTGGAATGTGGCACATGATGTGGAGGCTTCGTGAGGTCTTGATGTGAGAGATGAGGCTGCTGGCATGCTCCTCATCTCTGAACCTCTTCCTGAAGTACTCCTCCTTCTGGGGGTCAGTGAACCCTCTGACCTCTGTCACCATGCCCACACACTCAGGAGGGATCTGATGGGCTGCTGCAGGTCGTGTGGTGATCCAGAGGCGAGCAGAGGGAAGCAGCTTCCCCCTGATGAGGTTTGTGAGGAGCACCTCCACTGAGGAGGACTCTGTGACATCAGTCTGGATCTCATT